CACACACACACACACACACACACACAGCCGTGCCTCACAGATTAGTGCCACCTGATGAGGGTGAGCCAATCACAAAGCCACATGAAGTCAACCAGCAGCCCAGTCTAGAGAAAGACTGTAAGTAGAAATAATTGTTGAAATGTTTTAATGATGTTGGCAACAGAGACCAATGGATGATCATCTTCTTACTGGGTAATACTATAACTTATAAACAGCAATGTTTCCGACCTATTTTCTGTATCAAAAGTGAAAAACTGTCACGTTTTTGAGTTGATAATTTATTTTCTTTCAGACACAGACACGTAGGAGTGCAAACATAGAGGCAGAGGAGTGGTCATATGTAGGCACGCAACACAAATACCCACACCTCATCAACCATATAGGCAAAAATCTAAAATCCGTTGCTTTTTTAGTTTGATCAGGCTGCCTGGTTGAGGAGGTGTGGAGGAGAGAGCGCTGTGAGGAGGCGAAGGGTGGTCTCATACATACTGCTGTGGTTGACCACATTCTCTTTCACTTGTACATGCACTACTTGTATCACACTTCTAACTGATGAAGGCTGACTCAAAGCCAGACTAGTGAGATTGACACTGCACAAAAAATCTGTCTCAAGATGTATGAATGTGCAGTCGTGGGGCAGCAAAGATGCTTTGAGTTCTGACCATAAGACAATCTCATGCTCAGATAGATGCTTTTAAATTATCCATTTACAGATGAGTCATTGAACATTGTAAATAATTTAAATGTGTGGCTCTTGATCCCATGAGTGTTTGTGGCATGAGTGCACGTGTGTATACCTGTCTGTCTGTATCGTATGGAGCTAATGAAGCCGTTGTGGGTGAGATGAATGGTCTTGACAGTGCCAGAGGCCTCGTCATAAGTGAAGGTCACCAGGGTGGAGTCATAAACCACCTCCGAGAGCCGTGCTGCTGGTGTATACCTTAAAAAAACAAAGTAAAATGTAAACAGAACAATTAAATGAATAGAGGATAAATTAGCTGTGTCAAATGTTTTTACTAAAAAGGGTGAAATGCACAGAATAACGCATTTGAACGGCAGTATCAGTAAACATGCTATACCTCATGAATAAAACAAAGACACTGTGGGCTGTTAAGAAACAAGTTGCATCACCTTTCAAACATTTTATCAAATTTAGAGCGGCAGCCGTGGCAGTTATGGCCTTTCTTGAAAATGGGTCGTTTATTATAGTGTCCCCGTCAAGCCAATGAGTGTTAAAAAATGTTAAATGCCAGAACGCCGCCAGAATCCGTCTTCAAGCTTTCATCAAAATCAGATCGGCGGCATCTGACATAGTGTGATGATAAAAAATTTGACCTTTACTCCGTGTCCCCCATTACTCCAATCAGTGCAATTTGCAAGGACAGCTGGGTGTGCCTGGCACGTTCTGGTGTCGGCTACACTCGGGCTAACGGGGCTTTTACGGTTTGTGAGATTAGCCTTTCATTTAAGCACCTTCATTAAGCCAATCAGTGTTATGTTTTGATATGCATGACGATTGTGCCAACATGTGTAATAGCTTCTAGCTTCACCAGAATCAAACCAGTGGTGTCTGCAATGTCAACTCTTCCACGCTGCATTGGCTCCTGACCTTAACTGATAAAACTGACAGCAATTAATGTTTCAGTGATGTGTGTCATACCTGTAGATGACACTACGTCCTGTTCCCAAGTACTGGATTCTCATCAGTCGCCCATCCAGGGTGTAGTCCTGCATGAAGGAGGCCTGGCTGTCGGGAGGCATGTAAATATTCCTGTAGTAACCGACAGACAGGAGCGACTGCATGGTGTGTTTCACCATGCTAGGCATTGTGACGGCGACCAGACGGTCCGTTTGGTCGTATTCAAAGACATAGCGCCGTTGGCTATGTAGGAGTAGCATAATAGACTGAAAGAAGACAGACAGATGCACAGTGGAGTTAACAAGTGCAGTTTGAGAAGCTTCTTCTTTCTCTGTTTGGTGTATTTCTGTATTTCAATGTCCTTCTGTGAAAAGCTTTTCATCACCGGAACAGGTCAGAACAAGCAACCTTGGTTTCAGCTTGGGGTCTTCACAGCTTTTCAGACAAGCTTTGAAAATATGAGTCTGCAGCACTGTGGCTACTGGAGCAGTCTGAAGTGATGACACTTTTGTGCAAAAATACAGTTCTGTTATAATTAATTCATTTTTTCATAATACATGCAGGTATAATTCATTTCCGGATGGTTCTGTAATATAAGCTCATTTAAAGTTTTGTCTTTTTATCACAACCTCATACTAAGTATATTTCAGACTTAATATCATTTCATTAAATATTTCAATTAATTCAAGTACGGAAATTATAACCTCTGGTAGCTTCCGACTTTGTCACACACTTAAATGAACATACTGCTCTTTGTGAGTTTGAGCTCATTTACTAAAAATCACAGGCACTGTGACTGTATTTTTCTGAAGCCTTTTTAAAAGCATAATGAGTGTTTGCTGGAAAATTTTCAGCAATTTGAAACTCCAACTGCACAGCCTTGAAACTTCACTCCATCAGAATACATAACTTGTCTGCTCTCACTGCTCTCAGAGCTGTGCAGTTTATAAGTGCAGGTTTAGTCTGTACAATAACTGACCTTCACAAAAGAAACTTGAACCACAGACAAGAACCTCAGTCTGCAGAATGATTTGCATTTGTTTCAAATGAATAGAAACCATTTGATGCCTCAAAGGAAAGAAAAATACAAATAATAAGGTTGAAAGTAAAACACTGTGAACCTTTTTAATGTGCTTTCAAGTTTATACTGTCACACTTTGTGTGTGAGTGTTACTTTTGGTTTCATGTGATTGCAAAACCATGAGAAGCAGCAAACAGAGGAAGAGCAGAGGTGTGAAAATTAGACAAAACAAATGTAATGAGGCCATCACAAAACCCAATGACCACTTTCAGACATGAACTCTGGAGGATGTATCTACAATGAATGTCTCTCTCTAGAGGATGCCTATCACATGTGAAAAACACAGCAGGAGATTATCCACCTCGACACGTTCAAAACAACAATAGAAAAATCCCTGTAGCGTTCAGGCGAGGTAAATTCCGTTGCGGAGTTTACATGTTTTTGTTTACAGCACCTCCACAAAGGCATCGGCTCTTATCACCAAATGCTCTGGGATCTCATTGTCAGTGTGTCTTCTAGATGTATTGCATTACTTTTTCATTTTCTAAATTTTTTTGTGTCCGTAATCAACACGCCCACTCGCTCGCACTGAATCCCGTGGAGAATCTCCTGCTGTATTCTCACACACATCACACTCGGACATCAACCAGAGTTCGGTGTATGTCTGAAAGTTGTTTAAGATACACTGATAACCTGTGTACCACATCACCCCCTGAACATGTTTTCTGACTGAACAGCTCTTACTCTGTCTGCGTATGTGTAGCTCCAGATCTTGCCGTTGACCCACGCTCTGGAGATCACCCTCTCATTCTCGTACTCCAGCCGCTCAGACCACTCTCCGCGGTGGATGGCTGACAGCAGTCCTCCACCTGAGTAGCTGATGTTCACTTCGGTGTATTTGCTGCTGGGGGACCACACCACGGGTCGGCCCAGCGGATCATACTGGATGTGGAGGGTGAACTTCCTGTGGTCATCGTAGATCTTCCCCACTCTAGTGTTCTGATCATAGTCTATGGACAGCAGGTTCCTGTTGTGTGCCTGCAAATGAAAACAGTGAAATGTCAGCCTGTGTGTGGCCACTCTGTAATCACCATCAATTCTATAAGGCCACAGACATGCAAATATAAATGAAGCGGCATGAAGAGACAAGCAGATATTTCATTAGTTTAGATAAATTAATTGTGACATTTAGAGCGAACCAGGTCTGCATAATAACAATAAATTGCAGAGGCTTGGGAATTGCATATAATTAGCAGACATCAGATAAAATGTCCCATTCTTATGAAGTATTCTGTTTGTGCTGTGCACTCTCTGTGCAGTGGAAAAAGAGGAGAGGTGTTGCAGACAGTGTGTGATTTGTGGAAAGTACAGCTAACGGCGACATCATTAATCAACCCAAACATCGAATGTGTTGTGTAAGAACAGGCTGTAGTGCTGTTCAAACTGCTCCACGGTTTGCCTCAAAAAAAAAAGAAAAGAAAGAAGGAGGAAAAATCACTGAATAGATGTGAGCACATTGCAATTTGAAATGACATTTATTTTATTTGCAGTGTTTAAAAGTCAGATTCCACACCCTGCATACTTTTAAGGAGGTGGTTGCCGTGATGGAATTTGACCTATTCACACACAGGTTTCCACGATATTATGTTAGTGTTGGTGTTTTTACTCGTTCCACTGTGTATTCTGTTAATGCATTGTGTTATTCATGTCGTCCTCAGTTTGGAGGTCTGGATTTTCAATATATTATGTGCATAGGCTTCAGAATATGTTGTTGTATTTTACCCTGAGCCTGCGTTCATAAGTGCTATAGTTGGTCTTGCTCTGCTCCTTCCTCTGCCTCCACTCGATCAGACTGGGGGCGTGGTCTCCTGGCAGGCTAATGTTACAGCGACTGGCTGTTGGACTGAGTCCTCCCCCGACGACTCCCGGGAGAAGGGGCTCTGTGCTGAGAGACAGCTCCATCCCACTTGCCAGCGACACCAGAAAGGACCCATCGGCGCTGACTCTGTATGAACTCTGAGCGTGGTCTTAAAGTCGATCACACACACACAAAACCACACATACAAACAAGCATGCAAGTAAGCGACACATAAAAAAAGTGTGAAAAGACATCAGTCACTGTCTTGCAAAAAAACAGCCTTGAGACAAATCAATGAGATATAACAACAGAATACACGAATGCAATGAATACACTGTACCTGTTATTATATCTTAGCAAATATTTTTACAAATTAATTTAATTTAAAAGCGGTCGAGGGTGACAAAGAAAGCCAGAAACAGATGGACAGACAGCAATAAAGAGAGGATGAGAGAGAGATATAAAGAAAGAGAGAAAAGCAGAGGTAAGGGAGGGGTGTGTGGCCCTGACAGATTTTTACACATTGCAAAGGTTTCTCAGAAACCATTCATTTCTATATCACTCTGAACGAGAGATTACACATGCCAATGAGTTTTCATCATATTTGAAACAATTAAGAAGGCAAAATAGTCATAAAACTATATTTTAATCATAAAACTTAACACAGCTAATAAACTGGATAGTAACTTGTGTTCCCTGCACAATCATAAAACCTCTTTCTATACATGTGGTTATTGTTGCCCCAGAGGCAAGAAAAGAAACAGTGATGGAAGTAAAGAAAGGGGGGGGGGGGGCTATTCTAAAATAGGGGGTCATTTCAACTCATCCCTGGCAGCTCTGTCATACTGTAGCACTCTGCACACGCCGGCATGTGTGCACATGTATTTATGTGTGTTGGGGCAGCTTTTCTCTCCCTGCAGTCCTGTCATTGTGACAAGGGCTAGAAAGCAATTAAAGGGATGACATGAGAAGAAACTGCTCCCACGAGCGGCTTCTCCACTCCACTCTCATTTTCTCTTCCTCTCATCTCTGCCCTCTTTTCCATTTTTTTTCTTCTCCCGTGGTCGTTAAGACATTTCACAAGGCTCCGTCTGATCCGTTGCTTCTTTCGTAAATAAAAAAACATAAAGAGCACTTTTGTTTCACTGCCCATTATTCTGGTTATGTTAAGAGGTCATATCGGATCCATGTGTGAATTATTGATAGAAATCAATAAATCTGTTTTGCAAAGGTGCGACTCTCCCGCAAGTAGACGTTTAAGTGCAGCCGATGAAGAGGAATAAGAAAAGCACAGGTCATATTGTCTGACCTGAGCAGAATAACAGCCACGTTATTGCGGTTTGTCTGTCATAAATGTTTAAATATCGCTATAACCTTACAATCTGCCATCTTTATACATCTGTGTGTGTGTGTGTGTGTGTGTGTAGGCTGTTGTTCAATCCCCCCCAGATGAGTCATAAACCGTCTTGCAACATGTTTGTGGTAAGTAGTTGGGGACATGGCGAGGCATTGATGTGAGGCATAATATTTTCCTTTATGTCAACCCATGAATAGCCCTGCCTAATGATGAGGGGAACAACAACAAGAAACCATGATGCTGTACCTTGTCTGAAGGTGTAGATGGTATCACTGGCAGACAGGTTGGTGCTGGTGATGAAGTTCTCGTGGTTAGATGCCTCAGCCTCCACCCGAGACCAGCGCTCCAGGTTGCCGTGGAAACCGCTAACGTCACCCGTGGGGAGGGTGATGTTGGTCACACGGCCCTCGCTGTTGTACCTTAGAGAATAAACACAAAGAAGGTGATATACAAGCGAAGGCACACACAGATAACTGTCACTCATCGCCAAACAAACTCACACACACACACATCCATGCTCACTATCGCTCTGTTTCACCCTCTCACACACAAACATCCACAACACAGAGTAAGTGTCAACTATGATTTATAAGTGTAATTATCCAGCTGTGGAATTTGACTCAGAGACTGGGTTGGTAGTGGTGAATAATTCAGACAGACGTGTGTCTGTGTGTGTGTGTGTGTACTACGTGTGCAATACTAAATGTGATCAAAGTGTTGCAGAAGCGTCTTTCAGTAAATCAGTCAGCAAAAACTAAAAGGATAAAACAAGTCTCACCAGCCTTTGGTGATGCACTTAATACCACCAGATGGCACTCACACGTCACACCGCTTACTCAAGTTCTATTTCACATTATACACATGCACATACATGTCATCCACATGTCCAGGTGAACATTCAGAGTGAAAAAAGTGAAGCATGAATTAAAGAAAAAGTGAAAGAGACAAAGCAACAAAGTAATGAGAGAGCACAATAAGCTGAGAAGAAAAGAAAACTTTAAATTTACTCATAAACAGTGGTCCAACTGTTCTCATCACTCTTGGTTGCTAGGAGACCCGTGTTGCCATGGTAGGTGATGTGGGCGATGTCATGGCCTTGGGCTGACACCTTCCTCAGTGTTCCACTGTTGCTAAGAGACAGCCAGTACACCTGTCCGCTAGGTAGCGCCAGCCAGAGAGGAACTCCATGAGCGTCTCTCCTCACCTGGAGCCTGTGGCCGTTGCGACACATCAGCCCAGACAGAAGACCGTCTGTGCCGTAAGAGAAGTTGTACAGGTAGTGGCCAGTGATCAGGTGCTTGGTGAACATGTGGGAGCCATTCTGTCGTGGAAAAGAAGAGAAAGTGTCAGGATTGTGTTGCAGCAGCCATTTATAAATCCATTATTCTGTTTGTGTATGAAGTCCTATGTTCTCAGTAACCACTGGTATACTTTGGCATTGGTGGAGCTACTACTTTGGTCTGTGCACAACGTGAGACACAGAGCTTGATAAATTACACATTGTATGAAAGTCTCCTGATTGTACCTATCCAAAGCATTTTAGGATCTTCATGTCACTGCAGCAGCTGCTGACACAGAGCTGACTTAGACTTGTGGTATTAGCTTCAAAGTCTTTCTCACACATACGGTACAACACAAGCCTTATATTCCCTTTCTATGCTCATAAACACATAAATAAACAAATTAAAACACTATTACATTACACTTTAACCCTGCTGCAGTAAAGCTACTTTCAGACATGCACTGAACTCCGGATATTTTCCAGATGGGCTGTATATGAGAACATAAATGTCTGAGTCAGTTGCTGCCGACATTTCCTTGAACATCTCCGACCAGCCCCAAACAAAATGGTCGGACAATGTCTGAGTTGTCCCCGAGTGAGAATACAGCAGGAAAATTCACAGCAGGCGAGTGGGCGTGTTGATGATCTTTCTAACGTGACGGATGCAAAACTGGAAGAATACAAATATCTCAGGATGAAAAAAACTGTGCCATACACGTTGAAGACACAAACGAGGATTTTTACTGGGAAAAACAATGAGATTCGAGAGCTGTTGGTGAGTAAGACAGACATTGGAGTTGGTATGCAGTGAACAAAAACACATGATTCCCAGTGCAGGATAAACACTTGATGTCCTGCCTCCTGCGTGCTCTACCCAGACATCACAACTCGCCAGAATGTTATGGAAACGTTCCTGTTGGTTTTGACGCGTCTGACCTGGACGATCTATTCCTGCGTTCTTCAAAAGTGAAAGACCAACGAAAAATATCCACACCCAATTTCGAAAACAGTTTATCTCTTATACTCATTCTGATTCTTTCAAAGGAAATAGGTCATAACCATAAAACAAATTGCTAAAAACAGTAACATTTATATTTTAATGGTATCTGCTAATATGGTAAAGAATATCTTAGCTATGTGTCATTTTTGTGAGATGTAATTCCAGATTATCCCAGGTTACATGATGTATTGAGCACATCCCACATTAACCTCTGTTACAGTTCAATATCAAGATGTGAATATTTAGTAACTACAACCACTTGAGAATCAGTTTCTCCGACTCAACCTATTTTAAATGAGTAATATGTAAATTTTAGTAACTCAGACTGAGTCTGAACTCATGAAATGCATGAATGAATGTAAATTAATGTGTAATGTGACAGAAGGATAATTTCTTCATTCTGACCCTATAACTGATATAACAAGTTGATGTTTTACATAGAAATATACATTTAAAAGACAGAGCTCAGCTGCACTGTGTACCTGACTGAAGAGATAGAGCTCCTGGTCCAGTGGGGAGCTGATCTCCACCAGTCCGGCTGGGCTGGGCTGAGGCTGGTTGGGGCTGACGGCTCTGATCCGGATGTTTCCCAGATCAGCAATATAAAGGGTTCCGTTGGGGGCCACAGCCAGAGAGGAGGGGGCTTTGAGACGAGCGTCACGGGCATAGCCTCCATCTCCTGATAAGACATGAGAAGACATTATTTCAATGAGGACAAACCCTTTATCAACAAAATAGCATAAGTGAAGAGACCCTGAGTTAAAAAACCCACTGAGACATACAAATTATTCTTTAGAAGAGGGAAGAAGTCGCAACGAGTGAACACAAGCTTTTACAAAATATGAAGATCCCACAGTGTTGCAGCGTTTATCAGTTTAGCCCAGAACTCTGACTTGTTGTGATACTGTAGCTTCCCAATGGAGTGGATATGACCACCTTGATAGTGACCTCAGCCTTATCAGACAGTGGTGGTGGGTGACTGAATGCATTCAGATGTCTTTGGTAACACAGCGGGATAATAGCCGGGTGAAGCCCTTTAGATGCTGTCAGCAGTAGGCCTGGGGCCTCTGATGGGTCTGTGCAGACAGCAGGGTGGCAGTCTATCTCCTGACAGCATGCACATTATGTCTGTCTGTGTGTGTGTGTGTGTGTGTGTGTGTGTGTGTGTGCTCATGTCTGTTTATATTTGCGGGTGTGTGCTCACATCCACATATGTACGCATGTTCAAAGACACTGTGTGAGTGTTTATGGTGAAGGGATGGAAACGGAAAGCCTCTGAAGAGAGTAATCATCTGTTAACAGCAAGACATGATTGAAAATATGCAAAGTACAACCCAAGAAAAAGGGATGGTTACAGCCCATTGGTTTGTTGCATACAAGCGACACTTTGCACCATTTTGAATAGAAAAAGAGACTGATTTTTATGAGCAGAATTAAATGATAAAAATCACCTCCTCTGACACTTACAATGAAGGCATGGCCTAACTGTCAAAAGAACATCTGCTTATTTGTTCACTTTATTACACTTCAGGTGCCCTTCCATGATACACCAGCCAGTTTAAACCTTCATCGGCCAGACGAGAGCTCTTTCTTTTGCCAGCTGTTATTTGAATGGACTTGAACGGTTTCTTTCGAGCTGAAATTTAGCTACAATTTTTTGCAAAGAAGGAGCCTCACTATGAATACAAATATACCCCCCCTCCCCATACACAAGCACTTTCTGCAAACCCACCACGCATCCATTCACAAAGTCAAGCTCACTTACTTTTCCATTGTGACATTCAAGATGGTCATTTCCTGTCATAATTTATGGAAACGTCACTCTCCAAAATCTTTTTTTAATTATTTTTCAAGGAGAGTCAAAACAGCCCTGTTTAGAGATTACATCTCCATCTGACTTAAATTATTCAGACATTGAACGGAGGAGGAAACGGTGCAGGAGACAGACAAGAGAGAGAAAGTTCTGCTCTAGCTCTGTAAATAAAATCACTGGCCAGCAGGGACACACACGCAGCAAGATTTAATCACTTAATATCAAACGCAGTGACAATTTCTATGCATGTAAAGCTTTTAAAATGTCCCTGTTTTTGTTTCCTTCAAATACACATGAGAACCAGGCCAAGGGTGTTATGATCTGAAGTCATTTTTAAGTGCAGTTACATGTGTTTAATCTTATTAGCCATAATTTTACACTCTCACATCGCTTAATCCTGAACTCACAAAACAAATGTGTGCGTACACACACACTTTTTTTTTCTTTTCCAGCATAAACACTGATCTAAAGCCTTAAACCAAAGCCTGTTCTTAATGAAACATTTCTGAGGTCATGGGTAAGGTTAATGTGTGTGTGTGTGTGTGTGTGTCCTGCTTGGTCACCCACCGGAGAAGCAGTCACAGTTGGGGTCTATCTTACAGTCACAATCCGTGGGGGCTCCAGAGATAACAGAAATCTCCCCATTGGTCGACACCTGTGGAGTGTTAAAAAAAAAAAACAAGACGTCAAACACATAAATAAAATGCTGGAGGACATCATTGTTGCTGCGAGGATGATGTTCAGCAGCATCCTTTGTTCCGTCTAATCTCTCCAGAGAAAAAGATAATGGAGGCATTTCATAAATACCTGAGCTGAAAAAACAGATTACTCATATTAAAATTGAAATTAAAGTAAAATGACGACACTGTATTTAACTGTGTTTATCCACCAGTCTTCAACAACAACACACATAATAATAGATGATATCTTAGATGCCTTTTTTAATTTTAAGAAAAACAAACTGTATCTCAAGCATGTATCTCCAGTGTGTGAGAGCATTTCTCGTTTGGCTTGAATGTGCATTTTATTGAGATTTATCTTTACAACATTAAATTACTCCGACTTCTTCCAAGAATGATGATGACTTTTAACTCTCTCAAATGATGCATACATTGTTGGAATATTTTATATAGATCCTTCTTTTCACCAACTTTAATGTTCCTTTATTATGGAAGGTTGATTTGCAGTGAGCTTAGTTAAAGTCATTATATATTTTAACTGACTGAATTTTTGGTCTTAAAGGAACAGCTTGGAGCTTGGAGAAACATGCTTATTGGATTTCGTGAGTTAGATGAACTGATTGATTTCACCCTCGTGTCTGTATAGAACCTTTAAAGGTCAATAATTAACACACATCTTGTTTTTTTTAATCACTAGAAACACCATGGTGTAAAAACAATAGATTAAGTGTTAATTAGGGAGATTTATTGTTACCTTTGGAGAGAGCCAGGCCAGCTGTTTGCAGTCAGTGTGTTAAGTTAGCTGACTCCTGGCAGTAGCTTCATATTTAACATACGGACATGAGAGTGGAATCAATCTTCTCACTTGATTCTTAGCAAGCCGATAAATATATGTATTTCCTAAAATGGTGAACTTCTCCCTTAAAGTTTAATTCCAGCAGCTTGTTACACCCCCTAAAAATTACATAATCAAAAGGTTTGTCTTGACAAAACTCCACTTATGGCCCCAAAATGGCTTAAATGTAACTAAAGTATAATGTAACTCCCTCTCAGTTCATGACCTAGATCTATAAATATGCTATTGTGTTGATTTTCACCGAAGGGGGACTTTAAAATCTTTAATAATTTGAGTTTTTATTTATTCATTATTACATTACATATAATTTAGCTTACGCTTTTATCCAAAGTGACGTACAATAAGTGCATTCAAACCTCAAATTAAAACCTAGAACAGCAGGAATCTTGTAGGTACAATTAGCTTCAGAAAAGCCAAACTCCAAAGTGGTACATGTAAGTGCACCTAACTAGTTATATAAACACGAGAGTTGCCGATGGTTTATTAGATCATCATCTTTTTAACCAAGGTGTAGTCGGAAGAGATGTGTCTTTAGCCTGCGGCGGAAGATGGGCAGACTTTCTGCTGTCCAGATGTCAATGGGGAGCTCGTTCCACCATTTAGGAGCCAGGGCATCTAACAATCGTGATTTTGTTGAGTTGCTAGCTGTCCCTCGCAGTGAGGGAGCAGCAACTGATTGGCAGATGCAGAGCAGAGTGGACAGGCTGGGGTGTAAGATTTAACCATGTCCTTGGGTGCGATCCGTTCGTAGCACGGTACGCAAGTACTAGTGTTTTGAAAACAGATGCGGGCAGTCGCTAGTAACCAGTGAAGGGAGCGGAGGAGTGGTGTGAGTGAACTTAGGTTGGCTGAAGACCAGTCGAGCTGCTGCATTCTGGATGAGCTGCAGAGGTTGGATGGTACTAGCAGGCAGACGGGCCAGGTGGGAGTTGCAATCGTCAACTATTCCATTATGTCAGAGTAGGAAATCAGTCCTTAACTGGCTAAAAACTGTCAGAGCAATACAAATTTGTTCCTCTTGTTTCAGGCTTGGGAGCAGTCTCATCAACCTCCAAGACGAAGAGAATGTCTTATTCTGTATGTCCTCTAAGACTTAAGACGAGCTGCAGAGCATTTTTGACCTTCAACATAAGGACAACGATAAGTAAAACATGTCCACACATTCAAGAAGTGAAGGAAACACAGAATAGAGAATCTTTGATTCAAAATAATCTCAAGCTTTTTCCAAAGATATCAGCCTGATTTGAAAGTCCTGTGATTTTTCTGGATTAAATGCTCCAAAGAGGAACATAAAGTTCTTTTAGTTTGCCCTTAACTGAACACGGAAACAACAGAGTTAATTTGGGATGTAATGACTGTAATTTTAATGCACCTCAGAGGTCCGACACCATGCATATTCAATAACCCCCCTGCCTCTCTACAAGATTAAAAATAAACTTCAATGTATATTGGTTGTGCATGTGTGGTCCTTGATGTTATAGCCAAATGAAGTGTGTGTGAGTGTGTGTGGCAGATAGACGTGCCTGGATCATGAGAACAGACCAACAGCGATGCCAGAGCACTGTCTGAATTCTCATTGCAGCCAAGGCACGTTCACATTTAATAGAGCTTATGATAGCGAACAAACAGACTTTCTGGCTGAACAACATGCAGCTGGTGTCAGTCATTTAAGATGAAATGTAGTGGTTAATTTGCGTCATTTTAAAATATACTGTCAGTCTGTACCTGTGCACAACTTGTTTGTCTTACAAATGACTCAATGTTCTGTATTTAATTAAGTTTTATTCTACATCACATTGTATCTGCATTGTATCAGCATATGAGATTTTTGAATGTGTTGACTTTATATCAGAAACCAGTGAACTAAATCTGCAACACATCATTAATTTTATTTTACGGTTCACTGTCGCAAAATTGTTTCATTCTCTCTCACAGGAGAACCTCCAATTTGCTTCTGAATACTTTTATAAATTGGAAATTTCATGAATAACTAAAGTCGTATTCAGTGGATATTTCACTTCTGGTCTGACTTTCTGTTCCAGTGATTCAGAAATACTTGACAAATATGGGCCCAGAAATATCCAACATAAAATAGGTGTAACAAATACAGTAAAAAGAAAAATACTATTTTCACTGCCTTGTCCCACATGGCTTCCCTGTATCCATCAAAAAGGCATCTGAGACATTTTATGTTTCAGTCTGCCTCCACATGGACCCAGCATGGGACTGCTGACCACAAAGGGACTATTGATTGAATCCAACAGGCAGTGTTGCTGTGGTCCTGTTGCCCAAATGCCGCAAGCTTGTGATAACATGCTGTTAGCTAATGGAGCTAATGGACAAAAAATCTTATTTCTTCCAAAAATGAAAACAGGTTTTTGGATTATTTTTTGGATGCAGAGTAAGCTTTGTATGGTTACACAAGAAAGTTTTCAGACCCCATCTCTTTTTCCGAACTGTATTGTTTTGCAAATTTCATTTCAAATAAATACCCATCAATTACGACATAATAATCCAATGCCAAAGTTAAAAGAATTTTTTTGCCAATTTATAAAAATTCAAAAACTGAAATCTCTCATGTAGGAGACACCACTTTGGTGTAGCACTCCAAAAATGTGCACCCACTTTGATTCAAGGACCACTTTGCTGAGTTTCAACATTATCTCTATCCTTCTAAATTAGGGATGTATTGTATGGACAACAATAGTCTTTAATGTTCTTTGTCTCCGGGGCTTAGCTTCAAAATCTATTGTTTTTCATTGGTTCTCAGAAGAACTAACGGCTGCCTCTGGGAATCCAGGGGGTGTGCTGCACAGAATCTGCTGCTTGTATTGCAAACTAACTAAACTTTCAAGAAATGTTTTCAGTATTTCAATGAGTGCAGAGGATTTTTGGGACAGGGATACTATTTGCACTTTGTTGGCTGATAGTCAGCCTGGGTATTTATTTGAGTAAACAGCTGAAGAAATGCAGAGAGCAGAGAGTCAATCTAGTGTAGAGAGGTCGAGGCTGCAGCTGCATTAGCCTTGCGAAGGGATACGGCCGGAGGGGACCATCCAGAAATGGAGCTGCCGAGAGCAAACAGTGACTGGTGGGGCCTTTGATCAAATTGCTGTCCAATGCCAACAGAGACTGAATCATTGTGCAGCCATGAATTTCAGCATGGGCTGTTTTTGTTGAACGCTGTTGCTGATGCTAACCCCCAAGGGTGCCTGTGTGTGCCTTCTTCAAGATCGCAAAGATAAATTGGAATAGACAACCAAGACCAGCGGGACCAAGAGAGCAGATGACCATTGAGTGAGTAACCTTGTTTTTGTCATGTAACGCTATATTTTGGCCAAAAAAGTAATAGCTAAAGGCAAAGGTTGGTGATTCACAGCAATGCAGAAAAAGGTGTTTTCTCAAGATGTTGGCACTAATTGCATGATTCCTTGTTGCCCACATAAACTGAATAGAATATTTTTCCCGGGTATTATTAAAGCATATTTGAGTGAGGTATAATATAAGCTGAAAAGTACCCTCTTGGAACAACAAAAGTTGTACTGTTACCCTCACTTTTTTGCTGTCATAGCTGAGGTATGCTAAATCAGATACAGTATATGATAAGTGCTAACAGCTTACTGAGGAATAACCACTTTCTTTCATGTCTTTTGCTCTCTGCAGACAATAGCGTTTGGCAGTTTATTGAGTGGGAGCAAAAAGAACAGATTCTTGGCAAAGTGAACTGCATCATGTCACCTACTCGTGACGTACACCAAACCAGTGCCAGATATATCCTTCTTCCAATGGTCAGTGCAGAGGGCATGCTGAAGGGAATGAAGCTCCGGGTGAGCTTTATCCATGTGATATGAAAGAAAAGGGCTGGTAACACTTTTACATTGAATCTTATTGGGAGTGATCTTAAATTTGTCATGTCTAAATATGATGTGCAAAAGGCGAAAATGTGTTTGATTAGATAATAAGTTGTAACATCTTTGCTTGAATAAATTTGGTTTGTATAAATATGCAAGCTTAAATATGCACAGAGCGGTGTCTGATGATACCGTTTGATGAATCAGAGGCAGAGAGAACCGATGGAAGGACAAATGCAGCTAAATGCAAGTCCTTGAAGAGAACAGACTCCAGAGTGCACATGACCTGAGGCTGGGGCCCACGTATCACCTTTCAGCATGACAACAACTTGACGCATACAGCCAAGACAATGCAGGATTGTCCTTGAGAGGCCCAGCCATAGCCCAGACTTAAACCCCAGAGAGTGTCTGTGAAGAGACCTGAAGTTGGCAGTTCAGAGTTTTCCCATCCAACCTGACAGAGTCCAAGAGGATCTGCCAGAAAGAAATGGATAAACTTCCCAAATCTAGGTGTTTAGAGCTTTTGGAGACTTATCCCAGAGGACTCAGAGCTATAATTGCTGCCAAAGGAGCTTCTACAAAGTATCTGACTACGTTTGTAAATGAGAGATTTCAGTTAGTGATATTTTTAAACATGTCACACTGTATGACGTTGTGTACATAACACAGTCTGCAGTGTCTTCCTTCACCGCATCTGTGACCACAGCTAACAACATCAACATGGTGGGATACATGATGTGACAAGTAGGAGGGTAAATTTGTGTCATAAGGCCAGATGGGCTACTGGTGTCATTTAGCCTGGAAATCAGACCAATCAGCGAGCACATGTTTATTCGCTCCCGCAGATGGGACTAGCCCTCCTCCCGTTCCGACAGATTTTCATCCGCCCTGAGACAGGTTGGGCCATTCACAACCATTTATCTAAAATGGGGCGGGTTTAATATGGTGGCTTAAAGGGGAAGTATTTTCATTAACAACCGAAAGTAAAGAGGTCTGTTGAATATGCTATCATGACAGTATTTAAAAACTAGTCAGTAAATTTTCTCTAAAAGACGAACAAACAACTGCCCTTTTGTAACAAAAGCTATGTCACACATTTTGTTTCTCTGATTTTAGATCCATCCAATTACATCTACAGGCGTTTTGGTCTTTGAGCATTGATAACACCCTCTAAATCAAATTTACAAATGATAATTGATGTAATGTCGCCAGGGTATAGGTGTCATTTACAATTGAGGTGTTTTTCCTCCATTTTGCCAGAGATTGAGATTATTCATAGAGGCAAGCAGTGATTTCAAAATCCATACTGAAATTTATAAAGAGAGGGACACAGTAGCAGATTTTGGAGTTTGCAGTGGAATGTAATATGACGTATAGAGGAATATTTTGGAAAATCTTCTATAATTTGTATTAATATAATTCAGAAGAACATGGATAACATTTCAACATAAATAAGAGCTTCCTGAAAAGATGTTGACAACCTCATGGTTGGTTTGATATTAGATTATTTTAATTGTATTAAATCCATCATTGGTAGCATAGCTTGCTAAATATAAGCTGAACTGTGTATGTGTGTGTGTTTGTGTGTGTGTGTGTGTGGTACTGTTAGTGACATTGACCTGCTGGATGCGGTTGATGCGCCGCTCATCCGTCTCTGCGATGAACAGTGTGCCCAGGTGGGACAGGGCAATAGCTTTGGCAGCCTCCAGGGTGGCACGCACTGCTGCCCGGCTCACCAGGTGGTGGTCAATACCTGGAACCTGGCAGTGGATTGGACGTCCTGCCACAATACGTACTTGAAGATTTTCTGACACCTAAAGAAATACATTATTGTGTATTAGCTATGAAAAAGTAAGCCAGAATAGAAATATCAGCTGTGGTTCGTTGAACTGAACTAAACTCAAAAGCACAGAATAAGCTCCATAAAAAGCATAGAATATAAAGATAGACAAAATGTCTCCACTTCCTCCCACTGAGTTTTTATAGCATCAAATAAAAAGATAAAACCACCAAAAGCATCTTACAAAAATGAACACTTGCACATCCATCAATGAAATCAGAACTTTATGACATGAAAACAACTTGAGAAAAATATATTTGACATGTACTTTGACTTTTCAGTTTTGTCTATGGTGAAAAGAATCACGATTGACTTTTTTTTAAAATCAGTGCATCACACTATTGGTGCTCTTAACCTGTATAATCTAATAACTCCCTAACGTTTTGAAGATTCACATTCAAACAGGTAATTAGAAACCATTCTTGTATCTTGCACAAAACACGAGAAAACAAGTGACATAACATGTTATTTCTTGCTGTAAAGTGCTGCTTTTCTCTCTTTTATGTTAGCAGCAGCATTCACTGTTGATGCATCTAGTGACAGCAGTGCGGTTTGCAAGAATTATTCCATAACCCTTTTCTCCTCATATTGAGCAAGCGTCTCGACATAACCTTGAATGTGAAACAGGTTTGGAATTCATTGACTGACAAATATGTGAGATTTTTTCTTTACCTGTAGAACAATGTTGTTGTCCAAGATGTAGAGAGAGTTGTCCAGTGGGTTGATAGCCAGGTCTGTTGGCCACTCTAGACGGACCTGTGGAAGGACACACACACACACATACACAGTAATGGTAATGAGAACAAAAGAATGAGAAACCCTTGGTGGCAATCGCCCACTGGAGTCAGTTACAGGTGATAGAAATAATACCTTCTTAATAACATAGCATTAGGCCTCCTGACCCTCCCTGCACATGCAAAGGTCAGCAGCGGGCAGGGAGCCTTCCCCGTGCTTATTCAAGACTCACGCTGCCTCGCCTCGGCAATGGTCCAAATGTCAGCCAATAACCATGATCACCGCCTGCTCAAATAGCACATGCTGCGTTCTAACACTGTGGGGGTCAAAGACAGACAATGCTGCACCAGCGCACAACCACCCACCTCACACACACTAACACTCAAACTGTGAGCTGCATCAGCTGTGGAGACGAAGCGGCGTGTCTGAGAGATCAGTGAGGTGATTGATGACTCTGAGGATGAATTGGTAAATAAATGGATCATGTTAAATTGCCACTGACATGTCCAATTATAGGCTCTGTCAAATGAGAGAGAAGAGGGTTCGCTCTGAAATCCCATTTTAAGAGGTAGAGAGATTCATCAAGCAGGACCCACCCTGTCCTTAGCCAAAGAGGACACACATCAAATCTCTCCTGCTCATGATATTGAACTTTGCAGTGATGCCCAGCAATAACTTTTACACAGAGCGGGGTCTGCTGAATCAAAAGTTGAACTCATTCGAATGAACTTTTTCTATATCTTATAATTTCTGGCAGTTGCTTTTGGTTCAGTATTCAAATCCTTTACTCAAGCAAAAGTAGTGATGCCACAATGGAAACTGCGAAGCATCAGAGGGGAGATGCATACCCTTCATGGACATTGTTTAAAGGCTTGGTTATATAGACTATATACACTATATTTTTTCCACCATAGTTTACACTGACACAGACAGACACGCACACACACACAATGACCATTGGTAGCACCAGGAGAAATCCTGCCCACGTCAATTGTCTGTTAAAAAAATCCATAAAATGTTTTACCATCCTCTGTAGGTAAACACGATTCAGCATAAGCTCAGTAGATACAACTTTGGCTCTGCATGATCAAGCAGAATACATACAGTTCTCAGCAGACAGACTAACCGCAGTGTAATAGTCCCACCAAGTTTGGTCAAAATACAATAAATATGCCTTTACAAGTATATTGCATTGAAAATCTTACTTTTGAATATGATAGAGAGATACTGAAAAGTAAAATAACTCATTGTGTAAATGGCCTCTGTCCATATAACTATATTATTAATACAAAGTAGCATAAAATTGAAACGATTACGGCAAGTACAAAGTACTTCAAAATAGAACTCAGTTACACTATTTGAGGAAATACACTGTTGGACAACAAAAGTAGTTGAGAATGTCGTTTTAACTCCAGTGCACACACAGCCAGTTTATCAGCTCAACGATGTTTTGGCTGTTGATGAGCACCATCTGTGATGTGAGCACTGTGTATGTTACTTCATGACTCCGTATGTCAGTAATGCTGTCCTGATTCCAACCACAGGGTAATGTGCGGAGGGCTGTAGTTAGGCTGGTCATCTGCCATTGCCACATTTGGTTTCATGAGAGAGAGTCAGCTAACACCAGCTAGCTGCTCTATATGCAGGAGAGCGTAGTGCTGCAGACGATTTAGAAGGTGTTTAAATAATCAAGGACACATATATTTTACATAATGATTCCCAAGATGTCTTCATCAAACTGTTATGACACAGAAATGTATTTTGTATTTACTAATTTAAATTACTGTAACTGGTAAAGGAAAACAAATACAACCAAATATATAACTTCAAACATACATATTTTTGACAGAAATTGTACATACTAATACACATCTTATGCAATGTTAATTCTGTAAATCAAAAAAAAATCTTCTTGTTGCATGGGCTAACATAAACCCTGCAACAATACGTTGATGAAAAGCTCATATTGGCAAATTCTCATCGGCTAACCAATAAATTGGTTGGACTCTGAACTTATTATCACAGTGGGTCCTTACAAATATTTATTGTAGCAATGGGATTAATGGCTATAACATTGTTGGCAGCTAACAGTAGTGTGTGGGCGAGAGGTTCATAAGAATGGAGCACATGCTCCAATCAATCGGGCATCACAGTTGAAGGTTAGATTCTTTTTCCATATATTTGTCCAGGAGCAGTTTTATCTGTAAGTGTGATACTGTAGCAGCAGTCTCATTTCAGTTTATTCGAGTGGGAAGTGAGAAAAAAAAAAAAAATTCAGATTAATGCTACAAAAACCCATTAATTAATTTAGAATAAATACCTGCAGTGATTTTGTGTAGCTGTAGCTGCAGAGGTTTCCAAACACACTAATACCACACTGAGGTTCAAGCAGTTTAGAGGAACAAACAGATGGAGGTTGAATGCGATTGGCCGCGATCAGCTGCCCTGTTGTGTCCAATAACTAACAACAAGAGAGGAACTGTGATGTAACCTGGGTCCCTTTAAAGATACATAAGAGCACCGCTGGGAATTCACCTGAGCGGAACACACATTCACATACACACGCATACACCACCGCCTCCATCCTGATGTGTGGGCAGAGATCCCTCTATAGAGCCGGCATTTCATCTATAATTCATCCTCTGCTCTAATAGGGCTGATATAAGTCAGCAGTGTGATCTGAAGACTGGCTGATCAAATCTGTGCACTGGCTCTCTTTGGTCTTTTTGTGTGCTCTCTCTCTCCTGGAAACACACACCTTTACAAAGTCAGGCGTTTCTTCAGAAGAGGCCAGGCAATTTAGATTTACACAACTATCATTGAGTGCAAGACAACAATAAATACTTAAGTTGTGACCCATCTTCGTTTTGATTAACCTACCCTAAATGATAATAACAATAATAATAGTAAATTATGGAGGATAAAAACAATTTCAGTGCAAAACGTGGCTCTAGTGTCCTATCAGTGTCATCTGCGTTATTAGCTTACCTGGTTGATGTCCATGCGTGCATCACAGCTTAGCGGCTGCGTCGACATCAGTCCATTCGAGCCAATCACAGTGGAGAGCAAACCCCTCTCATTAATCTTCTGAATGGTGGTGCCATCGACGAAGTAGACAACGCCTCTTTTGTCCACTGCAATACCTGGCCGGGTGAGAGAGACAGAGAGGCATAATGAGCTTTTGGAGATGACAGAGAGTAGAAGTGGGGGGTGAGAGAACAAAAATGGAAAAAGGGGAAAAAAGGAGAAAGAGCGAGAAGAGAAGAGGAGGAGAAGTGGAGAGGAGTGAGTAGGGAGAGAAGTAGAGTGGAGAGAGGAGAGGGCTTCGGAGAGGCATCCAACTCAGTTAGACATTCAGCTCAGCAAGCGGCTGTCTTATCAAAGGCACTGCACCACAGAAATGTAATTATATTTCCATTCCAGAGCCCACTAAAGGGATTAGAACAATGCAACTGGAGGAAGAAGTTATTTGTCACATTAGATGTGAGCAGTGTGCCGCAGTGAACTTTTGACATTTGATGCGTGTGTAAATGTACATTATAAATGTGCTTCCATGGATGTGCATATGTGCATATATTCCTGCCTGTATTTGCACAGCACATGTGAACACATGCATTGCAATGTTTTTTTTTATATGAATGGCATACACTTGAACTCTCCTTGCAGTGGACGCTCTGCAGTAGACGGTGAGCAGCAGAGTCAGGGAGTAAAGGTATTAAAGGTCAGGGCAGACGATGAATCATCTGTTATGGATGAGGAACGACCTTCATCTCCCCCCTCATCTCCATACAGAGAAAAGCCCTCGACTCAACTCCTCAGCAATAATATTCCACGGCTCAGCCCTCACCTCTCATACTGCATGCTGGCAATCCTCCTTGATTGCTCCCTCTTAGCATCTGTGACAATAACCCATATTTCAGTATTCCTACCTGCCACCTTTGATGCCTGTGGGCTCACGACAGCGCCATTTGAAATACATTTTGTTTATGGTCTATCATTACGTCACAGCAACTTTATGTTTAACTTGCCACGACTTAATGATAAACCATAAACTAAATTGCACACCGATCAGCCTAGACATAAACAGCTAACTGGTTTTGCATGTCCCTTTATCTCAAGCATGCCTCAAGGGACTTAATGGAGATAAAGCCTACTTATTTTCAACCAAGCATCAATCAATCAAAGAACTGAAGGCTGCAATAAAATACAATCTGCAACAAAAGACACCATAAAAAAACGACATGACTCACAATGGCATGGTGGAAAAGCCCAATATTTACTTTCCTTTAACTCTGTTTTGTTCTCCTCCAACTCCTGAGGGATATATCTGCTCTTTCAAAGGTTAAAGGCACCATTATGTTAATTAACTAGTTATGTACTTTGTTTTGCTGCCAATTGTTTCTCAGAGGGTTGTGTGCAGTTGGGTGTATTATAGCCTTTGGGCTGAAAAACAGTTAAATTAAGTTCGAGTGAACCAAAATGGTAAAGCTGTGGGTCACAAATCCAAAATAAGACCAACAAAAGCAAAAAAAGTTATCTAAAAAGTTATATTGCAATATCCCAGAGCCGAAGGTAACATCTTCAACTTGTTGAATGATGTCTTTTTTACCAACACTCCATAATGAACAGATATGCAATTCATAAAATGAAATAGAGGAAACCAGCGGAGAAGCTGGAACCAGTGAAATTCGATATTTTTGTCATAAAATGAATTACACTGGCCATAACTGTTGTTCATTAAATTTCTTTTGGTTGACTGAATTTTAATTCTAGATATAGCAGGTCTGGCTGCCTTCCCGACAAGACCCACATTAGAGAAAGAAATAAAGTTTGGAAAAAGATTCAGAGATATGATCACACTGAAGAGCCAGCACATCATAATAGAAAAGGGCAAGATATGGTTCCATCTACTCCTCTCTCATTCACTCAGCCCGCTCCATTTCCCTTGATTTTTTTTCTAATTCTGTCAGTCGTTCTCCTTTCAAACTCTGTCACACTGGATTATGTGGGGATGTGTCTGCGCTAACTCTCTAAGCCCAGGTGGCGCTACGGGCCTCATCCTCCTTGACATACAATAGCCTTCCTTAAAGGTGATTTAATTCAACATTTGCACACAAGCACCCACGGACGAACGTGCAAACCTGGTGCGCCGCCACACAGCACAACCACATTCGCAAATGTCCTCAAACTGAGCAACCCTGGGGCGACCCTGGGAGCCATAAATCTTGCAGGTGGAGAGGAGAGGTGGGCAGGGGGAGGGCCAGGGTCAGTGTGTTTCCTCCAGAGGCCAGAAGGTGAACTGCAGAGCACTCCCTCCTGGCCCTTTCATCATCCCTCTGACACAGACAGATTACACCGCCCGGCAACACCTCCGCCACCAACAAACACCCTTCCTCTCCTCCACCGACTTCCCCTTGCTCTCCAACCTCTCTAACTTGATCTTCTTCTTCTGCTCTCTTACTTTCCTCTCTCCTTGTTTTTTTTTCTCCTTGTTGTCCTTTGCTTTCTCTTTCGCTGCACTCCCCGTGTCTTGCGAGTGCTAATCAAATCATTGGCCTTTGACTCTTTGGTAATGTCTGGGCACCGTCTCCCTCTGTTCGGCCCATTCTTTATTCTTTCTCGCGTTCCTCTCGGCCTTGCCATTTCTCCTCCTGTCACCTGGCATTATGCAGGAGGGACGTCTCAACCCACAGCGCGGTCTGAACCTACTTAGGTTTGAAATTCAGCACATTCTCCTCTGCTCTAGCGCCATCCTCGGATCCTTATACTTTCCTTTCACTTTTCCATCCATTCCTCCTCCCAGCACCCTAAACCTGTCCCTGATCTTAGAGCTCATAAATCCTGCACAAGGACACAATGAGGCAGCCAGGGCTCTCTCTCAATACTGATTTCTGCTCTCTCTCTCCCTCTCTGTCCCTGGATATTAGTCTTTCTTCTCCTATGCCTCACTTCCATTGACTTCCATCCTAATTTTCTCTCTATTCTCTCTTTCTTCCTTTTGTTTGTGGTTTCCTGACACCCTCAGTGTGCATGCTCAGAATCTGCATGTCTTATATTCACACAAGCAGCTTCTAAATAGCTGCCAATCTATTATCAACAATAAATGCAGGACTCGACTGACTTATTCATCCCCATACAGGCACACAATAACGGGTAACGACTGCTATTATTGCTTTCCATTGGCAAAAGGATTTACGCCAGCTTATGTGTTGTTTAAGAGTATTTTTCCATGTTTATTGAAAAGGCGGCAGATTAGTCCACATTCACTTTGTCAGGGGCTGGATTTCCTGCTGTTGTGAGTAAAGCTGTGCGCTGCTTTAATAGTTGCATGCTACGGCTCCTCCATATAGCCAATGGACACTCACCAGACATCAAAAGATTTACCGTTTCCCCCTGGATGGAACTGGCACTCCGATCGTCATGTTTAGAAGCTGGCAGACATACCAGTGGAGAAGTAATTGAGATAAATCTCAACTCTTGAGGGGGATGGACGTTTGGCTATAGTTGGGACCGGATTTTATCATAAAAGAAAAGTGAATTAGACTGAGTTGCATTGACCTTGGAAAAGCAGAGGGAGGGGAGAGGAGTGGAGAGGAGAGGATGATACAGTGATGCTATTCACATTCAGCTCAGATTTGGGGAGAAAACAAATCCAAAGAGAAAAGACAAAAAGATAGACAGCAGGGTGGGAAAGAGGAGCGAGTTGGTGATGAGACAAAAGGACATGATGAGGAATTGCTGCAATTAACCATTACAGGCCTATTACTCTCAATCAAACAATCTCTTGTTGTCTGTCCTTGTCAAACGAATATCTATTATAACGCCCCCCTGTGGCATTGCAACACAATGCAATCCCATTAATGCCTTAGAGAAGGGTCTAAAAAAAGCATCAGTGTTGATTACAGTTATTCGAAGAGAAGGAGCCACACGGGATCCTCCAAGCAGAGATCAAGAGAGAGGTGAGGAAAGGTGTAAGGCGAGAAATGAGATGAAGTGAGAACGACTAATTATAAGATAAGCTGTGGATTTGTGTATCGTTTACAGCAGTAATAGCAGACAGCTCTGTTGGCATACAGTAGCACGAGGACGTGGTGCGTGTGGGTAGCGCATACTGACTGCTAACACCTGAGCCCTCAAGAGTGCAGCTTCCTGGTGTTGTTCAAGTTCCCCCTCCTACAGTACTTTCACCCTTCAAACGTTGACAGCAAGCTGCTGAAACAGCTGCCTCTATGGATGAAAGCAAGGAGAATTGTAAAATTATATCGAAAACAAACATATCATTGCCTGTCAGGTGCAGGAACTACCACCTCAGTGCAAAATAATCACACGATATGCGAAAGGAAAACTATTTAAAGGATGTATAGATGGAGGAGAAAGCATAATGTTTGTGTGAGCATGTATGAAAGTTGCATGGAAACTTTCACATGCACAGAACCAGAGCACACACATACACATCTTAGTCTGACAACAGCCTAAGGAAAAAGTCATTCAATCTACTCTAACATATCCCCGGGCTCAGTGGGTGTTAATGCTATGGACTGACATATTATTACAGCATCTAAATTATGCTAGCTGTAGCTGATTATAGCCTACGGTGTTTCTGTACGAAAGTAACTCTGTGTGACCGACAAGTGAATGCAGACAAACGGACAGTATCACCTGCACAGCTGGCCCCTGTGAGGGACTCTGGCTATAAATAAAGTCGACCATATTAGCTGGGCAAAGCCGGGAGGGTTCACTAACTGCGACAGTCCCACTGCAAGTGAAACTGAATAACACACCGTTTCAGTTTCTTCTGCAGTTTCTCTCTGTGGTTTTTACTGCTTCCTTTCATCATTTATCCTGGAGAACATAACATGCTGCTCGTTTGTGATCATGTGAGTACATGTGACTTTGCAATCATGTCAACGTGTGCGAGCATGTGTGCATGCATGCATGCAGTGAAGTAGCTAGGTGAGACAGATAAGGCATGGCAGTTAATCACATTGTGTGCATATGCAAATATAGAGCAGATAAATCAGTGTCTGCAGATGAAAAATTCAAACTCCTGCCCACACACGTACGTATGCACACACACACACCTGTTCACTCAATCTCAGCACTGTGAAATAACACTGTGTGTGCACGTGTTCATATTTTGCAT